TCTGCTCCTTTGGCCTGTACCTAGCGTTCTTGGGTGGCTGCAGTATTTTCCTGCTGCTGTGGGTTTCTGTTTCGGGGGCAGGTGATAACTACGCAAAGGCTCATTCTCCTGCAGGCCCTATAGGGTGTCTGGTTTCTGAACTTCTGGTCTTCTGCATCGTGGTGCAGCACAGCCTGGCTCTGGCTCCTCTCGTCTCACAGCGCAGCCGTCATGATTATTGCAGGGCTCCCAAGTAACTGTGATGGGCCACATAAACCTCACGGCTCACTGCCAGCAACTTTGCTCTCCTGGTGATGCCCTCCATCTGTGCTTGGTAAGACAAGTATCTCTGTGTGCATATTTCTAATTCAAAAACATGCGGGGCAGCTCCCTTGTATTAATCACTGTGTAAGCCTTGGAGCGAAAGCCAAAGGTTTTTGTACCAGGACAGCAGGATGGATCCAGCTTTTGCTGATCCCTGAGGGGGGCTGGTGCAGCGCCCCGGTAACGAGCTCAGCCCCAAGCAGGACGCTGCAGCGAGCCATCCAGCAGCGTGGCTGTGTCCCGCGGGCCAAGCAGGGCTGCAGTCCTGGCTGCTGCTCTGGGTACTTTCTACAAGCAGATTTTGTTCCTTATCCCTCAGGGTTCATTGCAGGATCGCTTAGGAGCTGTCCCAGGGATGTCCCCAAACACTCTGCAGACTCAGATGTCAGAGGACAGCTGCTCTGCGCACCTCGCTGGTTCCTTCGGAGGCTCACTGGGTGGTGGTGGCTGTTCTGCTCTGCCTGAGAATTCATTTCTTCAGGAGGTGGAGGATAGCTCTTCCCCTGAACTGATGCCGTCATGTGAGGATAACAAACAGCCTGGAAGAAGTGAAATCCAGCCTCTGTAGGCTAACCTGTTAATTAATCACTAATGACTTTGCTATATTTAACTCATCTGATTAATTCTGATTCTAACTCCCTCTATCTCCTCCTAATTTTTCCCCAGTCCTTTGTTTTGGACCTTACAAATCTCACATGAAATACCTATGTTTTTTAGCCTGGCATGGATCACCTGAAAATAAATGCAAACTTGTCTATTCTTCAGGTTTTTAGCCAGGAGACCTCCTAGGCCCTCACTCACACCGCCCGTCATGCCAATCCCTGGCTGCTGAGCCAGGACTTGCGAGTCTGGCTTGCAAGCCACCCACCTTGTGCCTCCCTACCCCTCTTTCCAAGCAGCAAGCAAAAACCTGTGGATGAGCCCAGTTACCTTGTTCACAGGGTGCAGTACGTGAGGACATGACGAACCCCCAAGCCCCTGCGATTACCTCTGCTCATCTCCTGCAGAGCCGCGGGGCTGCCGGGGCTGCGGCGTTCCTGCTGCAGAGGATGTCTGGCTGCCCAGCCCCCGTTCCTTGGGCTGCTCTCGCCATGGACTTGCAAGTCCAGTATAACCCATGTGCTGCTGGGGTGTTTTTCCTGGTCAGGGGTGTTTTCCTCTGCCTGGATGGTCCTTCTCAGGTCGTGTTGGCCAGCTCGGCTGCATGGGTTCCCTGCCAGCACCAGCCCAGTGCTACGGTACCAGGGCAGTGGGCCTGGGGTCTCGTGCAGCGCGTTGTGAGAGTGCAGCAGGGCTGATTTTCCCTCCTCACTTTGGAAGCCGTTATTTGCCATTGTTTGCAATCTCAGCACCAAAAAGCAGAGGTGAAAGGAGTTATCTTTAAAGGAAAATAGTAAACATTTTCTTTTTCAATAACCCCTCTTCAGGTATTTCCCTCTGCTGTAAAAGCTGCGTCTCAGTGGGACCCTCTGCTGCCGTTACACCCTCTAAGCTGTTTTCCAGAGCACTTTCCATAACTGCTGTCAGCTCCAGTGATGGATCTGCAGGGAAAGGCTCCTCAACTGGGCACCACCGAGCCCAGGCTCCTGTCCTCCACTGCCTCCTCCTGCTGCCCCAGCGCTCCCCAGTGCTCTCCACTATGCCCTGCGACATCTCCGTGCGGGTCAGCAGATGCAGGAAAGAGGAGCTGGTCCTGATGGGAGAGGGAGGGAATCGTACAAATGCAAAGAAACAGCATTATGCGCTGCCAAACTTGATCTTGATAAGTTTCCATGGGCTGTTACAGGCAGATAACCAGGACGCTGCCATCCAGGAGCATGCAGTTTATCTGCTGTCTGCCTTTATTAGCTTTTCTCATTTACTGCTGGGGTCCAGCAGTGCTTATCTGCACTGGAAAGTTAATTTGGGGTAAGATAAAGAGCAGCTGAAAGCATGGTAGCAATTCTAGAATAACCACGCAGATTAAACCAAGTAGGAGCAAGGCTGTGATTTGTCCTACCATTTTTTGGCACCAAAAGTCAGTACTGAGAGGCTACATCCCAGAAGGTCCCTGAGCTCTCCCATGCACTGGGTCACCCTCCAGGAGTGCTTCTCCCTCCCCTCGACTAAAAAAAGGCATTTAATGTCTTAAATGTGGTGCCAATAGTCATTTAATGACATATTTTTGGGGGACCCAGTCATGACTTGATGCATTGTCTGAAGAGATGCTGTGAGCAGTTGACAGTGAATTGCTGCACACCTTCTGCCATGTAGGAATTGCACAGGGACTCTTGCTGTAGCTAAGAAAGCAATAATATCCATCTGAACCCAAACCTCATCCTGAGGCTTCATTAAAGGCCTCTGTAAGTCTTTGACTCTTCCAAAAGGAAAACTCTTTTAAATTGCTACGGTGCAAGAGTTACAGTCGCACCTATAATGAGTGTTTGGCATCCATCGCAGCTACCTTTGGTACAGATGTTTTCTAAAATATCTGAGATTCAGTCAAAAGGATATCTTGCTCTCCCCAACCACACTTTATTTTCTTTAACTGAATCCAATTTTCTAGTTTGTTTGCTTGCCCCTTAATTTTTAACTCTTTGAGTAGTATCCACTTAAAAAAAAAAACCTTAAAATTCAACCTCACTTGTAAGCTGAGAGCTGCAAGGATTGAATGCTGCCTACTTATGGCCTCCTTGCCAATTAGCACTCTGTTATTCACAGATGATGATACAGTAAGTATGAAGGAAGCAGTATTGTACCTCTTGTGAACGGATTTTTCTGTTCGGGTGCTGCCACTTATATGGCATAGACTGGTGAGTTTGTGCCTATAAAGTTAGTATTATTTTATTCAATTTACGGTCTCCACATGTGCCTGATTATGTGTCTGGAGGATTTCAGTTGAGCAGACTTCACATGTTCCGCTATTGAATACACCTGGGTTTCTTTTGATCATTTTTTATGTTGCTGAGTTTCAACTTTTATATAGCTGAGCTGCTTGTAATCAGAGTCTTATTCTGCTCCTTACTACACAAATAAAGAGAGGTGTGTGGTGCTGGCCTCAGGGACTTGCAGGCTGGCACGGTGCAGAGGAACCTCCACACAGCAATTTTTGGGGAGAGACCCTCAAATGCAAATGCGGGTGCAATTAAATTGGGGATCAGGTGTAGCCTGGCGGTCTGTCTCCACTGACTCCTTAAGGATGGATAAAACCCTGTAGATTTGCAGACATCTCCATTAATTAACTTCTTGGTAAAGGAAAAAGAGTTTCTTCTTGTTTCCCCTACAGGGAATGCTTTCTTAGTGCTGCTTTCTATTCAGCATGAAGCTGTTGGGGGAGAGACAGCACAGTCATTGCACAGGTATCTGTTCCCATGTGCCACCACATTAGGAGAGCTTAATTCCCAGGACCTGGCTGGATAAGCCTGGGTTGCCAGGTTTTTAGGCTGTGAGGTTTGTTGCTCCAAGGAGCGTCAGGTAGCGTTGATGAAGCAATGTGGGATGGGGTGTTCAATGTAAGTGAGGACCAATATGAGTCAAGACTATATGTATTTTCCTAATTAGAGAAAGTTCTGTTTCCTTCCTTTGCAGATAGTTTTCCAGCAGACTGTGTGTCTCTAGCTGTAGATGGAAAAGCAGCAGCAAAGTGCAAATGCCACGAGACTGGTTTAATAACTCTGTTAAACTTCAGGGAGAGCAGAAAGAGCCAGAGCTGAGGAAAACCTGCCATCAGATTTCCAAACCAGCTTCCCAGACCTGGAAGAGGCAGATGGACACCTGATCTTTCAGACATGTGGCACGGCTGAATTTCCAGGCCTCTTGAGATGTCTCCTCCTTGTTGTTCTCCTCCCTCCATTTCCCTTTGGAAATGCATAAATCCATCACAGACCCAACCGTGACTGTGTGTCAGATGCTGTTGGTGGAGGCATGGGGGTTCAGATCTTCAGGGGGGGCTCCCCAAAGTGTCCCTGTAAGAGCGTACTCAAGTCCACTGAGCAGCTGGTGTTTGCAGTACCAAATCGCAGCTTATTGCTCAAGTAGCCTCTGCTGGAAAGGAGCTGAGTCGGGAGCCTCTGGCACCCCAGGGCCAGGCAGCAGTCCTCCTGGGGGTAGGTTATGTGCAGACCCCTGCCTGCTGGTGTGGCTGGGCTAGCCTGGGCCACCAGTGGTGCAGTGCTGAGGACAGGGACTGGGTCTCCATCCAGACCCAAACCACAGCTAGGGCTTCGTCAGGAGGCTCCATGCAGCCCCATGGACACATCAGAGCTCAAAGCTAAAAGGGAAGTTTTAATTGCACTTTAAACTCATTGCGCAGTGTCTGATGCCACTTGAGGTAGATATGTATAACTGCTGCCTTGGATCATGTTTTCACTGGAGTGGTTTTTCAATCCGCAGTGTGATATTGTATCTCTCACGGCTGTTTGTGATGACCACGACCCCTGGAAGACCTAAAGTACCAATGCTTTTTTTATTTTTTTTATCTGAATGAACTTGTTAGCCTGTAAACGCTGTGAGTGGAAAGCCCTCGTGGCCTGCCACGAGTGCTGGTGATAGATGGGCAAATGAAAGCAGTGAATGAAATGGTCCATTTGATCATTTTCTAACACTGTTGCAAATAAAACACCTTTATTGTTTCCATGGCAGATGCTTTCCACTTATGATGAATTGATTATGTCAGGTTGATTTATATTTTCTCCCTCTCCTGTTCCTCCTCTTTGTAGGCCAGATGATGTGATGCTGAAGCGCACCCATGATGAGACTGTCCTCTTGCACTGCTTCCTCTGGCCTCTGGTTACGTTCCTGGTTGGAGTCCTCATCGTTGTCCTGACCGTCTGTGCCAAGAGCTTGGCTGTCAGGGCAGAGGCAATAAAAAAGAAGAAGCATTTGTAAACGGCAAGGCTCCTGATGGAAAAGAAAAACCTGCAAGAAGGTCTCAAGTGGGGCAACGACACAACGGCAGGTCTGCAGGGTGCCCAGCTGTTCCTCCTTCCAGTGTCTCATCAGACAGTGGAGTTGCTCTTGCCTCAGGATTGTTCTCGGGAGGCTGCCCCATGAAATATCAGCTAATTGCATCTTCTGCTATGACAGTAAATAAATATATTCTACCAAAAAAATATCTACACTGCACCAAATATGCTGTACGCTGTTAGTCCCGAACAGCAGCTACCCAGGTCCTAGCAGTTTTGAGAGACAGTTTATAAAACCCCCTGATGTTGCTCATTTCATCTCCACAAAGTGATCTTTACTATTGTTTAATGTTAAATATTTAAAATATTTACTTTACGATAGACTGTATTTCTAAAATAATGAAGTGTGGTTGTTTTGGGTTTTTTTTTAAGCTTTGTTTGTTGTTTTTTTTTTTTAAAAAAAAGCTTTAAGACAAAAATAACACTGTGCTGATTTTTTTTTCACTGTGTAGAGCTTCATTTTAAAAACTCAAACTTTAACTTCTGTCTAGACAAAGTCTTTCATCATCACCTGTTCATTGTGAAGAAATGCAGAAATCTCTCAGAAATACTTCTCCAAAAAATGAAACATTTATTGGAAAAGGTGATTAAATACTGGATCTAATTTTATTGTCTCAGTGGTATTCAGTCCCTACAGTTTTTCTTGTCCCCTCTCAGTTACCCTCTTCACCAAAATGCTCTCAGGCTGTGAGGAGCAGGGATTTGGAGTGGTTTTACATGAATACGTTTTACCAGCGATTTCCCCAAATAGTGGAGTGCCTGAGCGCTTGTTGAGGGGACCCTGTGAGCCGTGGTGTCACGCACATCACCAGGCTCCAGGGATGGCCAGAGAAGGACATCAACTTTTTGTAGGGCTGTGGGTGTTTGCTGCTGAACTGCCTGTCCCACTCATGCCGGCCCCATGCAGGGTCCCTCCGAGGGGATGCTCCAGAAAATGCAAGGCAAGCTGGGCACAGCATCTCGCTGGGTCGCCTCTCTCTGCTTGTCCCTGCAAATTGCTGTGTACAACGGGAGTACTGGCCCTCATCCACTTGCTCAGTGCAGAGATTTCTGTATGTCTGGCAGTTTCCCTGAGCACATCTGAGACCAGAGTAGCTTCATGGCACCCGTCCTCGCCCCCGCAGGGCCGTGCACCCCTGGGACCAGCTGTACGGCTTTGCAGGGCTGGCACACAGTGGAGAATAAAAGCCACGTGGCTCAGTCAGGAAAGCATGTGATTACTGGCAAAGCGTTTTAATCTACATTAACAATTCTGCAATTCTAACCATACTGTTCATTGTACTAATCTCTGATATTCTTAGTATTATGTTTAAATACCTTGTGTTTCATTGTGCTTTTAACACATAGGAGAGGTATTTCCTGAGGACGAGGAAAGTGCTAGATTTGAAAGCCTGAAAGCTTTGTTGGTACAAGGCGCAGTGACAAACCTGCTTGTATTGCTCAGTCTCCATCTCGGATTAATCGTATTGTGCATTGAATTGATTTCCATATGGCTTCTTATTTTGTAAACTTGTACATGTTGTGGGCGTCGTGGTGCCCAGTGATGAGGGCAGCAGGGCGGCTGGAGGTCATTCCCCACTCCCCTGCTTACTTGCTATATATCTTTTGGAGAGTCCTCTGGTCCCGGTACACTCCAAGATAGCTGTTCCTTTGAAGGAGGTTAAGGAAATCTGTTTGTGGAGTTGGGAACTTGATGCTTCTTGGCTAGTTAGTCTGTATGAAAGATCTGATTACTGTTGGTTGCACATGTTCAAGCACTTCCAGTTCTGTGGATGAAAAGTGCTGCTTGCACAAAAATTTCCCAATTCTCTGTGTTAAACGTCACCCCTTTGGAGGTGTTGTCAGGCTCACACGGGTACCCTCTGACTCAACCTGCTGAAAAGGATAGCACTGGATATACCGGATGAAGAGAGGTTGGGAGTGCTCAGCCTGTCGGATGAAAGCCTGCCGGCTTCTGGAAGTGCTGCCCTGTGAAGGACATAGCGTTTCCTTTCACTCGTGTCTCGCTGCCATAGCCTTGCTCTCATCCTCTGCGATTCTCTTGCCTTGGCAACCCACAGAAACATTGCGCACGTGTGTCTGGTCTGGGGGGGTTGGTTACTACATATTTTTTTTTATATATTGCTTTTTCACACGCTGCAAATCATAGAAAGCTGCCGCTGTGGGGTGGTTTGGTTATCTGGGTAAGGTGGTGGCAAGTTCCCCTCCTCTATTTCCTCTTGGTAACTTCTTACAGATAAGGGGAATAACCCCAATTTTCTGCATATATACATCCTTTGTTTTCCCAAGGGAGAAGGAAATAACATGGTGACACAGATTCACCATGGATTTTTAAGCCAGTAGCTTGGGGCTCACAAATCCAGATTAACAAAATCCTCGCTAGCTTTGCTCCTGAAGCTTTTGTGACTGAATCGTCACAGTTGGTTCTCCGAGCAAAAGGCAAGAAACAAACTGAGTTGATGTAGCTCTCTTGATCGGCAATCGTATCTTTAAATCTGTTAGAAATGCCGTTTGCGAAGGCCTCTGGAAGTAAGGAATGGTTACAAAGATGATATTAAATCATTTTGCAGAGAGATTAACATCCCAAATTAAACATCTAAATTGGCATGCAAAGTCAGGCAGTAAGTATCTCCCCGGCTTGGTAGTACGTGACGCTGAGGGGAAAAAAAATAATCCTAAAATTCACCCGTCTGTCCCAGCCTGCACCTTGCTGATTTGGAAATGTCTTTCTAATCCCCACAGTTGATCGTGGAAGCTGGGGATTTCCTTCTAGCAGATTATTCACTGATTTCCCCCTTGGCTTTCTGGATTTCCAGTTTTTGCGGTGTATTCTCTGAAGCGTATTTGCAGCCAGAGCGGCTGCTTTTTTCCAGAGCCATCTGCAGAGTCGACTTTTGCATTTCGTTCAATATTTATACGCTATTGCTTTGAGGAATTTTGTTCCGTCATGCTGTCTGCTGCTCCACTTCAGTAAGACCTGCCTTCTCTTTCACGTAGTGCAATTAAATAATTTTGTTTATACAGTATCTTTCTCTGTTAGCTTCTTAGGCTCATTTTTAAAAGTTGAAGTAATAGGCGTATTTTTTGTTGCTGCTTTGTGTGTTTCTGTGTTGCCAGTAAAAGATGAGATTTCACAACGCATTAGAAAATTTAGCTACTTAATTCAATGCTTGGAGCAGATGAGGGATGTCATGGGGGTATCCAGGGGCATTTTTAAAGATCATTACCTGTCATTTCTGGTGTAAACGTAGCCCTTTGACAGGGGTCCAGCACAGTCTGCTGGATTTGAAGGGCTTTTACCAGCTGGGCTGTTCGGTAAGCACCGCAGGATGCAAGCTGGGAGGCGCGGTGGAGACGTAGCGCAGGTCTTTAGTTTCCAAACTCCCACTTCCATGTGTGTTTTGAGCAATTTGTCCTAGATCGAGCAAAGATGCCTGCGAGGTGTGAGAGTGCAGAGCTCTCCATGCATCTGCTGCCTCGGCTCAGCCTGCCGCTGCCCACCCCAGCCCTGGTGCTGCTGCCCGCAGGGTTTCCCCGGCTGCTGTTCGCCTCCAGGAGCCCTCCGCTCCCGAGCCAGGGCTGCGGTGTCATCCCCACAGGAGCAGGGATGTCTACAGAGGGCCATCTCGGCTTATTTCACGCGCTGCATGAAAGGATCTGTCGAGCATGTGTTATCCCGTCAGAGTCCAGCTGGGAAATGTGAAAGGGGAAAGACCGGTTAATGTTTAAAACCCTTTCATAGATAAGGTGTAGGGATTAAGTAACCTTGAGGAAGTGTCTAATGCAGGTTGCTAGGGGTTTAGGCCTTACTTGAAAAATTAAAACTATTTTAAGGTGGGCAGTCGACACCTGTGTGGGTCTGGTACGACGGCGGGACAGTGTGGATTGCCTGTTAACAGAAGGAACGTGCTGTGCAAGCTTCTTTGCTCAGCATTGCAAATATGGGATCTGCCTGCCGAATCTGTGTTTCTGCAAACTTCAGCCTAAATGGCCAAAAGTATCTTAAAGCCAATAATAAACATGTGGAAGACGAGACACCTAGAACAGCGTTTAATAAGAAAAGAAAAAAACTCAGGCCATAGCTTATATTTAGGTAATCAGATGAAAGGAAGCACAGCAGAATTCCTAATTATGAAGCCTATTGTATCCTGCAAATATTTGTTTGCAGTCCCTGACAGAAATCCTATAGCCGGAGTTATCGAAAAATCAGCTTATTTCTGTGTGTGATTTCTCTGAGAATCAAAAGCTGCTTTTTTTTTTCTCAGCATGGAGCAGCTGCTATTCCTCCATTAACTTTCAATCAGAAACCAACCCCTTCTCTTTCTGGCATCTTAAGAGGTTGGTACGCTGATCTGTCAAGCTAACAATCTTCGCTGCAGAAAGCATGAGCGGGAAAATCTCCGAGGGAATACGTGTGCAATTAATCATACTGCCTTGTCAGGTCACAGACCCACTGAATGAATCAACCCCAAAGTTTGATATTTGAGAGGCTGTGCAATTTTCTTTCTGGTTTGATATGTTAGCACGAACGCTGCCATTATTTGCACTGCGTTTAATTTGCAGCTCTTTGGTGGTCTAACGGTTTAAAGTCTCATAAGCCAAGAAATCGCTTTGCATGCATTGGATGCATGCAATAAGAAGAAAAAGAATAGCCCATTAAATTATATAGCTGTAATTTGGATATAGAGCTTTAATATAAAATATGTTGGCATAGCTGTAAAATTACGTACACACCTACAATACACAAACAATTTCCAAACAGCACATACAGCAATCAACCTGAAATAACTCTCCCAGAAATGCAGTAAAAATTTCTTAAATCACTTTTGATATCGCATTTAAAAAAAAAAAAGCAATCTGCCTGTAATTTAATTTAATGAGCTAATGCAGTGTCAAACATTACCTTACATAACTTTTTCATAA